TAAGTCTACAATACTTTACTCTTTTAAGGCTACAATACTAATACTTACTGTGTGTGTGTCTATATATATATTATATATATATATATATATATATATATATATATATATATATATATATATATATATACAGTAAGTATTAGTATTATAACCTTAAATAGTAAAGTATTAGTATATATATATATATATATATATATATATATATATATATATATATATATATATATATATATATATATATATATATATATATATATATATATATATATATATAGACACACACACAGTAAGTTATATATATATATATATATATATATATATATATATATATATATATAGACACACACACAGTAAGTATTAGTATTGTAGCCTTAAAAGAGTAAAGTATTGTAGACTTAGGTTAGCCCTCTATTTCTGGATTCTTTCCTTTTCTAAATACGCAGTTATGTAATTTTTTAAAAATAGTTTTTAAAATTTAATTTTTAATTACTATATATTCTATTTAATGATGCTATGTGATAGTCAAGAAAGTACAAGTTAAACTGCACTTTTAGAAATGATTTTAAAAGTTTAACGTCTGCCAGATGTTTATCTTTTGAATCATAAACTAAGTGATGCAGTGATGAATAAAGATTTTATAAATCAAGCAACAAAATTTGAAGGTATTATTTTATTACTTACTTAGCATTGGTCTCAATTACTCATCTTAAATAAAACTAATTATATATATATATATATATATATATATATATATATATATATATATATATATATATATATATATATATATATATATATATATATATATATATATATATTTAGTATTATAGCCTTAAAAGGTAGACTTAGGTTACCCCTCTATTTCTGGATACTTTCCTTTTCTAAGTAGGCAGTTATGTAATTATTTTAAAATTTTAAAATAGTTTTTAATCAGTTTCTAATATATATATATATATATATATATATATATATATATATATATATATATATATATATATATATATATATATATATATATATATATATATATATATATATATATATAATATATATATATATATATATTTATATATATATATAATATATATTATATATATATATATATATATATATATATATAATAATTTAAAGTTTAAACCCTACGAAATTATATGTAAACGCAAAGTTTGTTTTGATTGTTACAAACACTGCCTCGCTTTGAAGAATCTCCTTTCTCCGTCGCAGATATTTATGAAAAGGTCTATCGAAACTTACAAAAACCAAACACTACTCTGTATTATCAAGACTTAGATTGAAAGCTCCCAAGTACTTTTTTTCATAATACTCGCAGATGATTTGGTTAATGTTTATTACTAAAAATAGTGACATTTGAACCATTAGAACAAGTAACAAAAAAATCCAAGAAAAGAAAAAACAAAGAAAGATTGCGCGAAAGTATAAAAAAACAAAGGCTAGCATACCATAAAACAGGGCTTGAATGTAACTGTAAAAGGTTGAAATTGTTAAAAGAGAAGATGGAACTGTTTTATTAAGTTACTTTAACTAAAAAATTAATGATTCAGTTTATGAATTAATAAAAAAACGAATACAGTCATTATACCAAGGAAAAAACAACAGGGTTCAAAAAAGCTTCACTTAAAAAAGATATTCTAAAATGAAAGTTATTGCACGTGACCTGGAAATATAACTTTAATCGCAAATATGGTTACTTTTGCAAAATACCTTACAAGTTTACACTTTTTTTTCTAAAAATTAAAAGGTTACATAGAACTTAAAGTTTAATATTGAGTTTTCTCAAATTGAAAAAATATGACCCGGCCGTTTCTTCCCGTGGAGTCTTCAAGTGTATTAATGCTTATGCATGGCCTACTTTATACACGGCCGGATATGTTGCATAAATAGGCCGGAAATTAGAAGGCCAGTTTTAAGCATTTCGGTTATTCTTCATACTGCCAGTTAATATCGTTTAAATTTTATTTAGGGAGATATTGATTAAATTAGAAATTTAGTTTTGGGTATAATGGTGAACAAATGTGCTGTTTTTAATTGTCGAACTGGCTATAAATCTAAAAAAAATGAATCAAGTTTTCTTAGTGCAAGTAAAGCTGTCTTTAGTTTTCCTGAAGAAACTGTTTTAGAAGAAAAATGAATGAAATTTGAAAAAAGTAACTGTTTAGAATTTCTGTGAAACAGATAAAGGGGACGAAGTTCGACATTAGTTTTGTCCACCTGGATTGTCCAGTTAGTGCAAATATAGAAAAGATTTAATTAATGGCAATAGCAATTATAAAAAGAATATAAATTTACCATCATGGACTTTTCAAATTTTGCCAACATTTTTCGAACTCAAAAGTGACGAGTTATCAAAATGCCTTCATGGACAAACCCAAAATGTTAACGAAAGCTTCAGCAATGATGTATGGTCACGTTGCCCGAAAAACACTTGTAAGAAAAGATGTATTAGAGATTAGTGTCAATTCTGCCATTATTTATTTTAATGACGGAGCAAATGATGTAAACAATGTAATGACAGAGTTTGAAATTAATGGATGTAGATTTATGCAAAAAGCTTATATATTACTTAATAAGTTAAGTACGATGGTCTGTAAATAAGAGTAACAAGAAGACTAAAAAAAGACGCGAACAATTGAAGACCACAGGGGTAAAACCACAGATGTCCACTTTTTGAAAATTTCAAGTTTTATATATTTTTATGATATTTTAGTACTAAGTTATTTTAATTTAAAAATTCATAGCAAAAAAACTATGTTTTAAGATTCTATGGTCATTTAAAAAAAAGGACAACTTGGAAACGTAAAAAACACAGTTGTCCAAGTTATTTATAACTAAACCAATGATAATAAAAGCGTAAGTCACATGACTAACTTTAAACAACATTACAGAAAAACATTAAAAAAAAATATTACATATAAAAAACACGATGAAACTGTTGGAAACAGATGGTCTGATGTTGTATGTTCTATGCTGCATGAATTTAAATTATCAATTGTCTCAAGTGTAAAAGATATCAAATTGATTGGCAATTTATGTGCTAGGCAAAATACAAAATGAAACGTTTCAATTTGATTTTATTATCTAGTTTATAAAACTGAAAATCTTGACAGCATTACTGTTTAATTACCAATTAAAACTCTGTCACATTATATATAGACATTACACCTCTAAAAATTGTGACAAACATTGGTCATTGCAAATCATAAGTTTCTTCCAGAAACACTAGACGATCTCACAAAAAACCATAATTCAATATTGTATATAAACATCATCCAAGAAAAATTTCTGAAATTTGCAGTTTCAAAGCCATACTTCTTGGTTGTTTGCTCATTTAAGACATGCTCACTTAGAGAAATTGAAATATTAAAGGTTATGAAATATTAAAAGTTAAAGTTTAATTATATGGAAAATGGAAATATTTAATTTTATGTGTATTACATCCCATATGTTTTGATATATAATTGAAGTGCCTGATAAACTGAAACAAGCATACATAGCTCTGTAGCCTTTTTTTTTGTTAAAAACTTACTAAAGACTTACTAAAAACTTATTAAAGACTTACTAAAGCAAAACATTTTCTGAATCGAAAAAGTAAGACATTATTTGATCTTATTTTATCTTTTTTTTTTTAATTTTCTTTGAAATTAAAAACAAAACATTTTTATTGACGTTGTGTTCACAATTGGATTTTGTATGGTCTATACAAACTTGATATAAAGTGATGGAACACAGACATCATGGAATTATCTGTGGTAAATAAATGAAATTGGGGAAGAGATAAGGTTGAAATGCTATTTTGTATTAAGTTAAAAAAAACTTTCATATAATAATTTGTTCGAATTTTTTTTATTAAAAGAAGGAAGGTGGGGGAGGGGGCGGTGGCTTTATTATCCCACCACACACTTAGTAAGTTGTAGTTGTAAATTTCAATGTGTTACCATCTACCTTTAAAAAAATAAATGCTCTAAAAGGTTTAAAGCTAACGCAGTTTATGAGTTGATGAGTTTACAACAGAAAAAACCACAGATGTCCAAATTGAGTGTCTTGTTTTAAATAGAACATTGTGAATAAATAATACTTGTATTTAGCACAAAAACTGCGTTTTTATGTTCTATAAGGACTGAAATGTCAGAAAAATATACTTTAAATTAAATAAATTATTAATAAACAGATATCTAATGTCACTAAACACTAAATTTTATTTTTCTCAAATGAGAAAAATGTGACATCTGTGGTTTTACTGGGTAGTCTACAATAAGGAACCAAGAGAAAAGGTCTTCCAGACAATGGAAACAACGAAGATGTTGCTGAAGTCTGTTTCTGGCGGTATTTAAGTTGATCCAATTGTTTCAAATGTTTTTTTGTTTTTCGTTTTTACAAGCTTTTTGCTTTTCCTTTTTTTACGCAACTTTAAAACCGGATATCTCGTGATTTAGAAAAGCTTTAGTTATAGTATATAATAAATATAATATAAAAAAGTTTCAAAAAAAAAAAGATCAAGAAACAGTATGTTGAATTTTTTCAGATTTTCCCCTTTTTAACACTGATTTTGATAAAATTTGTCTAAAATATAATTTACTTTCTTTAATTTTTTTTTTGATGAAATTTTTAGTTTTATATACAATCAAAAGCAAACTTAAATATATATGAACCACTGGAACTGCTTCTATTCAAAAAATAGCTTTTGCTAGGAGCCACCTTAAAATAATAAGATTTTAAAAAAATAAATATTTAATACAAATAGGCTATTTAAACAAGATTGTGAGAACATACGTTAAAATATTATGATACTTATGATCAACGATTGGTTACGATATTGCGCGATAATCAAATTTACGTTAAGCAAATGTTGATTTTTTTTCGATATTATGCCGACGTTAGACCATTTATGCATTTGTTGGGACTTAGGCAAGATTAAAAAGGTTAAGTTAATGAATATAAAAGCATAATTTAAGAAGATTATTCTTTTCTCCAAAAAAAAAAAAAAAAAACTACTCAACAACACAAAATAAACACATTTACAATTGAACAAGTTATATACAATAATTATATAAATTAGTCACTTCAGTAAGAACAAAAGTCTGTTAATATACCAATATGTGTATATATATATGACATATGTATTTACACGTACACCGAAACATTTCAACTTTTAAAACAGTCAAAATTAAAAGCGAATGAAACGCCAGAATAAAAAAATTCTTTTTAAGACTAACTTTAAATTTGGTTTCTGCGAAGCGTATATTTACAATATTTTTTTAACCTATTTTATAATTTTTTAATTTATGGCATAATTTAAAAATATATTTACAATGACCATATTAAAAGATAAACTGCAGAGAAAATAAATTTTAGTAAGAAAAAAAAACGAAAAAAAAAAAAACGTGTTAAATTATTGGGCTGAAAGGAAACACAAAAAACGAAAAAAAAAGCAACTATGTATAATGGGGAAACTCAATTGCAAAAAACACCAATTTAAAAGAAAAAAAAAAGAGCTTATTCAGTCCAACACTGAAGACCGTCAATAACCCAGCTATTTATGAATTAAAAAAAAGTAAATTTAACAAAAAATATTTCAGCAATGATTCATTTAAAAAACAAAAAAACAAAACAAGAATTAATAAAAAAAAAATCCAACTCAGGCAACATTCAAACAAAAAAATATATATTTAATAAATTTACGTCATTAAAAAAACGAAGAGAAAATAGTCAATAGCTAGAGATATAATAGATAATAGAAAGAAAAATTTAAAAAAATGGTATTTTTAAATAAAGCTACAGAGTTTTAACTAAAGAAGTAAACTATAAGCTTGAAATTTTCAAAAAGAAAGAAGAAAAAAGAATTGTCAACCCAAATTTGAAAAAAGCTGCAAAAGTTGAAGGAGTTATTGTCGAAATAGTCAAATTAATGTTGAAAGAACCTGTAAAGGTAGAGTTTATATATGTTAACTATTTACAAATACGTTATTAAACCTGTTAAAAAAAACTTTCACAACATAATGTGCATCACGTGCACAACATTCATAATATTCACAAGCAAGTATACAAAACCTTTTTTTAGCTAAGTAATGAAATACTGATGCTAATAATTACAATAATGATATTAAACAATTAGTTTATTGTAGAATTATTGAGTTTTAAACATTCATCATATTTTATTGCATATAGAAACATGCATATTTAATTACACAATTAAATAAAAGAGATAATCTTTTACAAAATAAATTAACTTAAAATTTTATAGAGACGCACATACACACAATGACATCATAAAAATGATGAATACTAAAATAAATACTCTGTTATTTATAAAACGGAAGTTCTCGACCTAATTTTGGAAAAATCGTCACAAGATGACGTCAATATAATATGACCAACCTTTCTTTTTGTTTCTTTGGTTAAAACATTTTGGAACTCGCAGTTGCAATTACTCGCTCACCAAGTAATTTTTTTAGATCAACATTTGATCTAAATAATACTTTAACAATCTTATTTTAGACAGCTTCACCAAGGATGCGGAGAATCGCTTAAATCTGGTTGTGGTGCAACAGTTGAACTAAATAAAAGAAATAGTTTTCTGCTTACAAACAAATCAAACAAAAATGTTTTACTTAGGTACCAGAGATCTCACTAATAAAGAAAGTGAGAGGAATGATTTGAAATAAGTACTCCTCTGCTATTATTTTAATAGTTTTTAAACTTTTTATTTTTGTCAGTGAAACATAATTAAGTTTTAAAATTTTCTGGAACTTTAAATCAATAAAGGAAATGTATTTGTGAGTGACATCTTTAAAACTCATTAGAAAATATTTTATTTGAAACTTATACACTTAGTGAACTATTTTATGTGACCTGGAGGTCACATAATATATAAGATTTGGCGATTCAAGACTATAAGAATAAAAGCAGTTATAGCATAATATATAAGATTTGGCGATTCAAGACTATAAGAATAAAAGCAGTTGCAGTGACCTGGAGGTCACTGCAACTGCTTTTATTCTTATAGTCTTGAATCGCCAAATCTTATATATTTAAAATAGCTCAAGGTATATTATGAAAGTAAATAAAAAATTCATTATTTTTCTTAAGTTAAATTAGAGCATGAGTTTGGTAAACTGATGCACGCTTGATCGAATGGAGTTCCATTCGATTGGGAATGAAATATGCGTATTAAAAATAAATAGAAACTTTTTTTTTCTTCCTTAAAATAAGAAACTTTCTAGGACTAGCCAATTTGCTTGGTTCTTATTAAAAAGAAAAAAATGTGTGGAATTGTTTTAACTGGGAATAAATCAGAAAGAACAAAGCTACAAAAAGATATCTATGCAAAAATAGAATGACACATGGTTAATAAGTTTTACATTTAAATATAACTTTAATACTTTTTATAACTTACATTTTATAACTTTTATAACTTAAATTAAAAAAAAAAAATTTTTTATCACTTTGGTAACAAAAGTAATAAATATATACAACTTTATAACAAACCAACAAAAAGCCATTATTTATAAGCATCAAAAAATTTAAGAAAAAAAAAAAGTTAAAAAAAATTAGACTCATTTATGTTAAAAATATTTTCTAAAAATTAGTTTAATTTTACATAAAACAATATTTTTTTAATCATGTATTTGTATTTTAATAAAATTGTAAACTTGTGCTTATTTTAAATTTTTATTTTGTATGTAAAGATCTTAGAAAAGCGTGATAATATAGCTTTTCAGCACAATACAGTTAGAAATACTTTAGTCTTTTCTGAAAACAATATTTATTTAAAAAATAATTTAACTAGTATTGATGTTTGATGAACTCAATAAAAGTTAGATATTTACTTTTCTAATCAAAATGTAATAATAGTGTACATATCAAAAAAGTTTGTTTATGTTTTTTGTTCACCAACAAGGCTGTTAGCAACCAATTAGTTGGGAGTTAACAGAAAACAAATAGAGCAAAAAAGCATTTGAAATGATATAAGTCAGGAAGACCTGATGACAGGAGAGAACTCTGAATCACCTATGTTCTAGGAAAATACACTAGATGAATAAAAGAATTTTGAGAACGAAGGAGCAACTTACAGGGTTGCCACCGTTATTTAAGAACAAAATTCCCTGATTTTCCCTGATTTTTTTGCTAAAATTTTGCTTTTTTCTCCCTGATTTTCCCTGATTATTTGCGAAAATTTTGCTTTTTTATCTTTGATTGTTCTTGATTTTTTTTCTTATATTTTGCTTATTTGCCCCTGATATTTCCAGTATTCAAACACCCACACTTAACCTTAAAACTTCTCCATTAACCCCAGATTTTTACCTTCAAAAAAACAGATGCTATAATCCCCCAATGAGTAATAAACCAATCAATTTGTTTAAAAATTCAAATAGCTAATTAAATACTTCAATCAACACATGAAATTATTTATAGTAGAATTCCGTTAACTTGAACTCTGAAGGGATATATATATATATATATATATATATATATATATATATATATATATATATATATATATATATATATATATATATATATATATATATATATATATATATATAATATAATATAAAACGGGTTCAACAAGCATTAAAAATCCATCAGACTTATCTAGGGTACAAGATAATGAGATTCAAAAAAAAAGTAACAATTAAGATTGAAAATGTTTTTAATAACAAGCAATGTAGTAAAAATTCAAGAGTAAATACAAACAAGTTATAATAACTATTTAAAAAAGACTAACAAAAACAAAATAATTAAACTAAATAAGTAATACTGTTAAATACTGAAATGTTTGAAACAAAGGTTAAACAACTTTATGTTAGAAAAAAGAAATTATATGTAATTGACTTCTTTTTTTTTCTTATATAATATAACTAAAGCCTCCTCAAGCATCTTAATTTCTTTTTCGTGTTCCTCACTTTTTCGCTTACGATCATTGCCTTTTGTAAGTAGAAGTTTCATTTGAGACATATCCTGCTGTTTGCCAGCTTCCTTGGTGAATGTAATAAATTCCTCATTGTATGTTTTACACACTTCGTTCAATACTTTTTGCTTTTCCTTAAGTTCAAATATTTCCTGATCTAAAAGCATTATCACGCTATTTTCTTTTTCTTTTGCTTGGAGTTTTCTATTTTCCTCCAAATAATTTTTATATTGTAACGAGGCACTACGAACAGCCTTAATCATTTCATTGTTTATTTCTATTTCATGAGCCTTTAATTTGTTTGACACCATAAAATCCTTGATAGTGCGACGAGATATAAGTGACTTTTCTTTCATATTTTCACTGAGCATATTACTGTTAATACTGAAACCTCTCTCAATTGATGCTTGCCCATGACATAACGTAAAAATATATATCAAAACTTTTGACAAAGTCTTGTAATCTACACCAACTTTAATGGTTTCAAAATAAAATTTGTCTAAACGATTTCCAGAGTGAAAATTTTTAAATGCGGGTAAAAGAGTAGATGAACTTTCCTCTAACAACTTTGAAAATTGTATGAAAGCTTGATCACATTCATTTGAAGTAATATGTGAACAAGAAAGAATAAGATGTAGTACAGATTTCATCTGATGAAGAAGATCAGCTTTTTTTTTAGAAAGAATTGACACTGGACTGATGCAACCAGTTTTCCAGAAAAGAAAATCGATTCAAACTTCTTTCAAATATTTTTTCCAGGATTCTAATGATAATGAGACGGCAATCTTTCATGAATCTGTTGATGACATCATGAGATAGCGCATCCTTTTTCCTCAATTCCATAATGTCACGTTCAGCAGCAAACCCAATTGTCATTAATTTTAATGGCAGAAAGTTTTCCTTTTCAGTAAAATCAAATTTTTGAAGTTGCCTGCCATTCACGATGCTGCTAAGGACATCTTGTTTTATAATTAAACCCATTAAGTTTTTAACAGTTAAGAACAAATCTTCAAAAAGAAAGGAAATCATTGGGGAATCGGTTTGATATCTCAATAAGATTTTCTGTAACAAACTTGCAATGTAACTAAAAAACTTCAATTTAGTTAAAGTTAACTCATCTTTTGTTCCTCCTAACACAGTGTCATAGCTCTTGGATTTTGGTTGCTTACTTTTAGGAAGAGTCTCCCAATACTTGGTTATTTTTTTAACATTCTCCCAAATTAAACAAAGTCTATCTGCAACTTTTTGGTCTTCAACCCAGCGTGTTGAGCAAAATGCATAAGGAAAACTCTCACATTCAGTAACAGTTAGAAAATCAGCTCTTCTAGCCGGAGAATCATGAAAAAGGTTGTGTGATGCTTTCATTAACTTCCCTATATTCCATTCAACAGATTGAAAACCCGATTTGAAAGCCCCATGTATTACATGAAGGTTACAACTACCAACGTTAACAAGTTTAGGAAGCTCTTGTTGATCACGCTGCTTTTCAAGAAGATTAAGAAGGGACCAATTCACATTTGGACCATCCATACTTAGTTGAATCAGATTTATGCTATTAATCATTGACAAAGATGTAGTAATACTTTCAAGCAAATTTTTTGCTGTGGGGTGACCTAAAAATTTAGAGTCAAAGTATCTGGATTCAACATGATTTAGATCGCTGTTCCAAAACCGAATATTTAGATCCATTTGACAATTTTGGAAAGAATAGTTAAGGCTTTCATCAAATGAAACAGTATAATAAGAAGATTTTTTTATATTTTTAGTTAAAAGTCTGTGAAAATAAGGTCCAAGACCAAAATTAATTATATAACCAAGTTTTGTTCTACCCATTTCATAAGATTTAGCAGTATTGCTGTCAGGGAACATTTTCTGATAAAGTAGGCCATTTTCATTACATGAGTTCAATGAGAAATTATTCTGTACTGCATTTAAAACAGAATAGATTTCTGCACAACATTTATCATATTGATCTACTGTAAGAATTGCTTGCTTTTTAGATGTAGACGGTGCAGGCATGAAGAAGCAAGATACTGGCTTTGCCTTCTGTGCATGTTTTTTGCCATCCATGTGACTTATCACAGCTCTTCTCCCCATATTTGACAAATTAAACTCAATTTGGCATATTTTGCACTTGGCTGACTTTTTATCGCTGCCTATTACCAGCCATTTTTCATACAAAGGATCACTTAACCATTCTTCTTTGAAATATGTTGTCATTTTAAATTTTAAAAATTTGTACTATTCTAAAAAAAGAGCAAATGAATACACAATGTGATTAATTTTCTTTAAAAGTATTTAACATTAACCCTGGTACCCTGGGAAAGGAAAATTTTTATTATAAATTATTTCAAAACATTAAAGAAAAATTAAAAAGTTCCCTGATTTTCCCTGATTTTTTCCTAAATCAATCATTTCTCCCTGATTTTCCCTGATTGTATTTAAATTTCCCTGAATTTCCCTGATTTCCCTGATTTGGTGGCAACCCTGAACTTAGCTAAATGATAAATCATGCAAGATTAAATTTGGCTAATGTTTAGTTGATGCAACAAGTAATAATAACTCACACAAGCAGCAAATATTTTGTATAATATTAAACAGCAAATATTAAATACTTGCAAAAAATATGACAATGCAACCTTACA